GCCTACAGGATCCAACTCCTCATAATAAAAACTGTAAAATTATAATTTTTCGGACCCAGAGACATAACGGGGAGGACTTTGAAGTATGTGTCACGATCCTCGCACGCGAATCAAGAACACAGGCGCAAAAAACTCTCGAGGCATTCTGGATTAATTCCAGAAATCCGAAAATGAACCGCAGGGAAGAATGCCTCATTATCACGCGTGGTGTAGGGCAGTATATAAGACTGCTATTCTGATGGGAGGGGCACATTATGCTTCCATGTGATTTCTGTGCGGTTGGACTCTACGTGACATAGTTAGTGGAAACCTCATAGAAAGCGGTGAGTGTGCAAAGCTGTGTTCAAAGTGATTGAAATCTTGGTTTGGGGTTTCTTTGTTTGGTTATGGAGGCGTCTGGCCGAGTAGATTGCTGTCAACTTGACCTTTCCAGGCTCTGAGGAAGGCGAAATCAGCCGAAACGTCAGCTTATTCGTGAATAAAGAACAATAACACCTCGCGTTTGCTCAACAAAAATGCGAAGAATTACTTGATCAATGCCAAGGTTAATAGAAAGTCGGTCGTGGGAGTTACTGGAACGTTGATCAGTCTGTGGTTTGAAGAACAGGTCATGATAGCATACCCCGCTTCGTCTGAATATTTCGAAAATAAAGCTCTTCTTTTCAGTTTCTTTTTGAATTTGAGATTTATGCTTGTTTAAATTTGTGTGAGCATTTTACAAAAATCATTCCTACTCCTAGCGCGGTAGTACAATGCGTCTTTTATAAGCGTACTGAGTACTGAACTCCTGGACCACTTTGGCTGTTGAAGAATTATCGGCACTTATCTAACCATCACTAGGCGTTGTTTTGAGGCGACATGTGCTGAATTGTTATTGCAACGCCTATTCTCTGCTTGGGATTCGATTATGACAAAATATCCGGACGTAATTCTATGCAATCGTTGTTGCCAGCGTATGCTATTGTTGTGTTCTGTTCTATTTCTTGTTTTTAGATCCTTTTTATATTCCTAGAAAGGTTTTGTGATGGAAAAGACTGACTTTTTGGGTGATTGGGGGCACTAAAAACCGGCTTAAAACCTTTACTTATTATTTGTCGTGATTAGCACTGCCAAGAAAATGTCGTAGACTTCGTATCACATCGCGAATAGTATATCTTTTTTCGTTTCACAGCGTGGTGCGCTTATTCTTTCGTGATCGTGAAAAGTTACATTTCAGTGTAAAAGTGATGGCCTATTTCCAACTTTCTGGTGTTATAACTCGGCTTTGACAGAGCTTTCTTAATTGAATTGAGGACTGTTAGTAAAACGACATTTTCGGTGCCGATCTTACTTAAAGCTGGGCATAAGCGATCAGTGTCGTGGTTTATTGAGAACTTGATTTAGGTTTATTGAGGTTTATTGAGAGGTGTTATTATGGTATTTTTTTATTATTGGTCTTCACAGTAGTATGGACTTGAATCGAATGCAATGAGCACATGAGTGGAGTGACTTCATAAAGCATTACTCCTGGACCGAAGACGATTTTTGGTTGTTCGATGTTTTCCTTCAATAAGCAGACACGAGGTTGTTATTATAGGATTTATTAGGATACAATAACTGACGTTCCGTGGTATCGCCTTTTTCGCCCATGTATTACTCTGTGCGGCTGCTATCCATCAACTAACTTAAATACAACAAATAAACGGCTCTGAAGAAGGTGAAACCGCCGAAATGTCAGCTAATGTATCCTAATATATCCTATAATAACAACCTCGTGTCTGCTTATTGAAGAAAAACATCGAATTATCAATCAATGCCGAGGTTAAAAGAAAGTCGGTCGTAGGATTTTTGGCTGATTGCCCATCAAAACTTGTCGGTCTCCTTGGTGACAATCCATCTCGTAGCATCCGGATTAGCTGGCAAACTCAGTCGCCGCGACTCGTCGCGAATTTGTAAAAGGCGATAGAGCTGAATCATTAGCGGGAGTGGAGATTTACAACATTTTTGTGTAAGCTTATCAGTAAACCAAGATATGGTGAAACGTTAGCTCCACATATTTTGTCATTCTTATACGATTTTTCGTATTCAAGCAGCAAGCAGCAGCATGAATTTCGAGAACGTTTTCCGCGACGGATAATTGCTGAGCTGTTTGCCAAGGCCGTATTCGATAGCTCAAAGCTCCACTGAGTTCACTGAATGGTATAGACTTTCCTCTATCAATTCGTTCAACTTGTGTTGTATTAGTTGTGGTTGAACGTTACTGCGTAACACGATTTATTGATGTATACCAGATACCTTACATGCATTTCGTCAGTTTTGCAACAATACATATTTGCTTCGTTGATTTCCCAGTATTCCAGAAATTTCATCAGATGATTCTAATTGTCGAGTACCGAAGGGTCATAACTTTCGTTTGATGGGAATTCGGCTTTGGGAAGTGTTTAGTAAGGGTTAATATCGCTCAAACCGTTGTGGCAAACGTCGGCGATTACCATACATGATCCACTTCTCCTCGTTTCTTAGATACATTAGTGAAGGTTGTCGGTTTTGTTTCGTAATGAGCAAAGCAGATTTCGTAATGACACTTGAACTGGTTTTTCAGCTTAGGTTTTCGTAATGTGTACCATCTATTCTATTTTATAATGTCTTCTAAATGACGTATGATTGTTGGTTGGTGGATATTAAGTTCTGTAACATCTCAATTAGTTTTTAACCAGCTTCGACTATCGCTTTAAAGTGGTCGTCATCAAGTTTTCATCACGACCCTGTTCTCCATCATAACTCATAACTGCGGTGAAAAACTTTTCGGACTATCTGAGCACCTTTACTGGAAGCGCTTTCTCATCCGTGCCTCGACGACATTTTAGGTTTTCACTATGAAAACATGGGCAACTTTCAACTAGTGATGCAAAAACATAGATGAATATTATTATAAATTTGACTCTAAGAAAAGTATTTTACTAGAAATGGTTTAAGTAAAAGTAAACTTTGAAGTGCTACACATCAGCTTTGTTGAGTTCGTTTAGAAAAAAATAGACACTCTTCAATTAACGCGTCAATCCAACACATACTTCGCTGGTTCCCGCCACATTTAGTCTGATGTAGCTTCGCAGAGGTTATTTGCTGTGTTCAGCTCCGATCGTCCATGGAGTTATCGAATTTTAGGTGTTAAGATTTCGAGCGCTCACCTGCTTAATTATGGGAAGCACTTGCCGGTCAGCCGGTCACGACGGTTTTTTACACCATATTCTTCATATCACCTTGTGTTTTAATTTATGTCAGGCATAGGTACGTGAGGTATAAACGTGTGTTTATGTTGCTGCTCTCCATTTCTTACAAAAGGAGATGATTTCAAATGTTTACGAGTTGTTTCATTTTTCTACTGTTTTACATTATTTTGCGAATTATATAAGTGGGTATCTTCCATTGTCAGTTATTCCTAGTGATATCCAGCACAGCAGCCGAAGATCTCGCTTACCATTTTTGTCAGCCGTGTTTTCATTCTGCCGGTGCTATCAGTTTTCACCCTTCAATGGGAATGATTTGGAGAACACAATCGGTATTGGATTCTATTAAGCTGAAGCTACAGTCGAAATCATAATGTTTCACTTTTTATCGGCGACCTATTTGTTCTTCGCAGAGCATTGTGTGAAATGCGATCACAAGTTTGCTGAGATATGAGCAATAGACTGACCCTCAGGTGGGATTGAAACCTGCGACAACTACTTCGGGTATCCCACATGGTATCCACTACACCAACTGACGTCCTTGTTATGCTTTTCTTTCAGGTAGTTCTTTATTCTAGCGGTGTTGTCAACAATCACGCTTCAACTGGGATAATACCCTGCCATGAAACAAAAGGAACAGGCAATGAATAAAGGCCAAACATTGTGATTGCTACTGCAGCTTCACCTGAACCAATGTTAGTTTGTGCTCCCGACGTCAGTCCAAGTAACGGATGATTGCTGATTGCAGCGATAGGGTAAATAACTGACTAAGAGAAGGACATAGCAAGGATCTCGCTTGGTGTGGCGGATTGCACGTGAGCTCTCTGTGAGGGTAATCGTGGGGTCCAAGCCCACCCGAGGTTCCGAGTTTTGCTCATATCTCAGCATCGTTATGGTATTATTTCACATAATACCCGGCCATGAAAAAGGGTTTGCCGCAAATAAAAAGTTAAACATTTTCATTTCTCGTAATGTTTGAAATTTCAAAGCGAGAGCAGGCACAGCGATCGTTTTATGGTTTTAAAACTGTTAATAATGCGATGTAAGGTTTCCATGAGATGGAATTGCTTTTTCTCCTTTAGGTTAGAGCTGTAAGGGAACCGTCCGATTAAATTTTTCAACAGTATGGCAACTGAGAATCTTTCAGAACATGGAGCAACTTCCAGACTTTGCTCATTATGTGGGAGGGATACCTTCATTATGCGTCTAAGGAAAATATCGGGCGAAAAAAGGAGGCCCGAAGTATCACTTAGTTAAGAGTTGTTTGTCGCTGTTTGGTGACGTGGAGACGTGAGGTTATTGTCTCTTACAACAATGTCTCTTACAACAATGTCCTGTGGCCGTCACGTCGTTCACAGATGGTTGGTGTGTTGTATTGATAAATGAATTTTGTTCATGTTGGAGTGTCGTAAATCACTGTCAGTTCCTTATTTACGCACGTAACAGGCCATGTGTGTATTCAACACATTCCTAACAGTGAGCATTGACTTCGTTGGGCACCTACGCTTAATTTTTTCCCCTTCAAGTAAATACAAGATTGTGGCGAGTTTTGTAAACTCGACAAAAACCATTACAAGCTTCATAGCCCAAATACTCCAATTCGCCACAGTTGTACCGTATAGTGCTGCTCATTGATGATCTCGTCAAACCACATGGGTGGAGCTCTCGAGTACGTATATAAAAGCGGCACGTGTTCTTTGGACTATCGGTATCGTACTAATTGGTGTCTTTATGCAGTAACACTCTCATCAATGTCTTCAACGACTAATTCTCCCTTTTTTTTATCTGCACTCTTGTAAATGTGAGGCGTTTCGCTTCGACCTCGTTCGAACCTCTAACCATTGCGGTGGTCTCTTGGTGATTTCGCTAATCTCTGAAATTATTGATCGAAACCACAAAATAAAGTTTTCATATTTGAATAGAGCGGCTGTCGGGTTTGGATGTCCATTATTGTTTATATCATCCATCTGAATCGATGTCACTTTTGCCCGTAATTCTAAGTGTTCCCTGTGAATTTTTAATTCTTCACCAGAAGATTTTCGCTCCGTCTGAGTTTCTGCATGATCTAATTACCGACTGGTTCGAGTTAGTTCGAGTTAGTTCAATAGTTCGAGTTTTAATTGCAAGTCAGCCTCCTGGATTCATTGTACGTGAAGTCGTCTATATGGCATTATCCCTTCTAAGTTACAGTTGATTTTACTTTTTGTTACAGAAAATGAAGCTTAACGACCAACTTACGAACATCCTCGGCGAATTCTTCGCCTTTCATAAGACGCCTGAATTCAAGCCAAGCTCGGCCACTATGCAGGAGCTGAACAGGGCTGTTAAAGAAGAAAAAGACAACCACACTCTCAAGGTAGATTATTCATCGTTTTAACGCATTACTCAGGTCTAAATTCTCGTTTGCACCTTTAAGAATCTTAAGATCAAGTAAATGCGGTTGATTCAAGACGACCTCTATAATTAGTAAACTTTTTGCAATCTGTTAAAAGTGTTTTTAAGTAATTAACGAGAAGTAGCTGTTAACTGAATATTAACGGTCATTAGATGGTAGAGGTTGCTAGCGATCAACATGGAATAGACCTTTTTACGCAACATTTATTGGTACAAACCTACGTTCTAGTGGAACTTCAAGGGTCTTTGCAACTTCGAACTCACCTGGAATGAATCTGAAAATCGCGCCCTAAACCACTTGAAGCGCAAAGAGTGCAGACGCGTACATCTCGACAAAGTTTTCCATGAAGGACATGATTTACACAAGCACTGTATAATATTTGAACTATTCCAATCTAATAGACAACTTTCAACAATGTCACGTGGTTGTCACCATGGTCGTTACGAGCTGTTATTTTTCGCTTATCACCTTCAGGGTGGTAGCTTTTTAGATGGATAACCGGTTTTTATTGCTCACTTTACGCACGTGATTGTCCTTTAGCATTCAGAGCATTCATTTCCCAATTCCTGCAGTCCATATTTTATTTCTTATCTTAACTTTCTGTACGCCAAACAGTTGAAGATAAGGTGCGCCGGAAACGTAATGCGTATGAATGACAGCCGATGGACAGGAGCCGTTTGTGACTGGATTCCTCGGGATGTCAAACGTACTGCAGGAAGACCACCGACCAGATGGTCAGAGTTCTTTACAAAGAGCCTTGAAGAAAGATATGATGCTCGACGAGTTACTAGAACGAGCAGAACCCACTGGGCTACTCTCGCACGCGACAGGGAAGAATGGAAGATTTACTGGCGCCCGTTCGAGTCACTCATTGATCAACGGGACCAAAGGTGATACAGGTGATGTTATCTTTCGCTGTAATTAGTAGTACTAGTAAAATAGAAGCTCCATTAAAGAGGTGTGCACCTTGTCGACATTGCATGGATTACAAACTGAACCACATTGAAAACGGTGTAAGTTAAAACTCATAGTACAGGAAACGTATTAACTGGTAGTTTAGTTGACAGAGAATAAGAATTGGTGCTTTTCGTCCATCCTTCTTTTATTCGCTTTTGTTGGACTTTTTGATCACTTGGGATGTTACCATGAACTAGCAAGCTGAAAGTTTTGAAATTTTTTTTAGATGTTATTATTAAACTAACATTAGGTTTGAGAGTGTCATTTGTCCGTTTTTACAGCATGGATTGTTCGATACAAATAAGGATAAGAATAGATAATATAGAAATGTTATTCAATAGTGTGGAAGTGCAAATTCGACGTTGTTTTTTCGAAATTCATTCTTGGGAAGTGGAGCTGAGAAAACAGCTCAATGATGAAATTACATTCGACTACGGAACCATTAACAGTCGTACGGTACAACATCTGTTTTAAAAATTTCGTGTTAGCTTTGAAAGCTTTGTAGTTGAAAAGGATCGTGGATGATTGGCTGCCATTGAAAGTCATTGGATTTCACATTTCCGAATTGAATTGCGTGTACAATTATAAATGGGTTCTCTATAACAATTGACAACGTATTGAACAAAGTTGGACGGAAGTGAAGATCGGTATCTATAAAGAAGGCGAAGATTTCAAAGCCGACTTTAAACAAAGCAGCAATCGTCATTTGAAGAGAGAAACTTTTTTCATGCTAGCCAGATGCAATCGATTATAACTCACTGAACTCTGGCGATGTCATTAAAGTATAAAAGTACTGTTAGAAAATGAAGTGAAGAAAACTCCACGATGATTGCTAGCGTATTCTAGTGGCATTGATAAGTAGAGAAGTATTAATTGTACACCAGAGCGGGAATCATTTCTCGTACTGTTTCACCACTAATGATGCAGAAACTAAGCGACCTTAGATACACGTTCTTCAAAAACCCAAGAGTTACCCTTCGTGAGAACACATTTGGCATCTATGAGAGAGACAGAAAAAAGACTTCGACGATTTAGATTTTGAGTTCCAACATTTTTGAAAAGCCTTTTGGCAGAGGCGCGAAGGGAATGTAACGGTTTTAATGGTAAAGAGCATTTCAACACTTGAGGTCCGGAGTCTTTTCGACGAATGTTGCTAATTTTCTGCTAATTAGAGTAATAGAGAGGTTGGAATCTTAGTAGACTTACAGAGACGCTTCTATTTCTCAAAGCTTAGACATGGTTCTTAAAAATTGCATCCTATTTTTACAGTTGTTCGGCTTACAACAAATTGTCAAAAACTGAAGATGAGATTAGCTACATAGCGATGTATCCGAATACATACCATCTATTCAATGAACTCTCATTGGTATAATATTTTTACTGTTTGAAATATGGAGCTTGTCAAAAAGGGAATATATGGTTTCTGGATCCACTAAAATCGTTTTGTAGTACAGCACTGGTTCGGATTAAACCCATTGGAATATGAATGATTTTTCGTCTCCTACGAGCTTTCTGGTTTTTTTGACAATAAAAGATGATTTCTCAGTTAGTAAAAGACTTTAAGGGTTCTGGGGGTAACAATATTCTTGAAAAGACTCTCCTCTGTCGTTCTGAGGGTATGAGTGATATGCATTTTGCTACTAACCATATGTTACTATGGTTCCTCATGCACATAAATTGCTGCTAACAGTTGGAAGTGTTTTGGACCCTATGTTCAATCTATTTCAGTGTATCTGATATCCTACAATCGTTGTAGTGATTAAAATCGAATAACGGTTAGTTGTTAGGCAAATTACAGGCCAGTGAACTTTCAAAAAATTTTTCTGTAAATTATTAAGTGTATGTAGAAAATGGTTTTTCTGGTCTCACCACTTATATTTTATCTCCTTTTGATTGGCTATTGAACAAATGACGTTGGTATGGTAAGCAAACAGGGTTCTAGAACATACCGATCTTAAAGTGTACATCACTGTGTCGCTATCCTCCACTGTACCAACGGTTTATGGACATACCGCGCCTAATGGCGAAGCGGTGGTCACCTGTCACCTGTATCACCCGTAGTCGAGTTGATCGTCGAGTAACTCCATCGGGTGCCATTAAATCTTCCATTTTCCCTGTCTCGTGCAAGAGTAGCCCATTGGGTTCTTCTCGTTCTAAAGACTTGAGCATCATTCGGTTGTCGTTCATACGCATTACGTTTCCGGCCCACCATATCTTCGAATGTTTGGCGTACAGAACGGCATCTTTAATTTTTGATCGTTGACGCTGGTCCGAGCTTCGGATCCCTAACTTTGCTTATGTGACACGGGATACTTCTAGCATCGCTAGCATCGTCCTTTCGTCTGCGCATTCAATAACGCTGATTGACTTTTCATCCTGTTTACGCTGCAACTAGGTTTCTGATGCATACGTTAAAGCAGGAAGTACCGTTGAGTCGTTCCCGACCTAGAGAGAATTGGCTGGAGCATTCAGAGATATTCATTACGTAGAGCGTGAATGGGGCATGCATAACCAATCCATTCCTCATGAACGTTTTTGTGAGATTTAGTCGAAGACCAATTTTCCCACAGGCTTTATCAAAGTGGTCAAGCACACGTTCCGCTTGGCTAATGTTTGGTGTTATAAGGACGATGTCAACAGCAAAGCGAAGATGGTGTAATTGCCGACCATCGATTTTCACTCCCATGTTGTTCCATTCCAATGTTCGCATGGCGTTCTGGAAGGTGGCGGTAAATAATTTTGGCGAGATGGTATCGCCTTGCCTAACTCCTCTTCTGACGTCAATGTTAATATCGTTGTAGAATGGTGATACCTTGGTTGTGACATTTTTGTTCAGCTCATGAAGAATCTTTATATGCTGAGTAGGGACTCCTTGACTATCAAGGGCTTCCAGGACTGCTTCTATTTCAACTGAATTAAAGGCCTTCTGTAAATCGATGAAAGTGAGACAGAGCGGTCTTTTGTACTCTCGCTATACTTCAGTGAGCCGCGTCACCGTGGGATGTGGTCCATCGTACTAAACCCTTCTCGAAACCGTGCTTGCTCACATGGCTGTCCTTCTAGTGTTCTGTCCTGTTTAGGAAGACTCCAGTGAAAAGTTTGTAGACGACAGACAGCAAGTAGATTGGGTGATAGTTGCTGGTATCGTGTAGCTCACCCTTCTTGAACAATAGCACAGTCTTGCTGGTCTTCCACTGAGTAAGGACCTTGCATTCAGACAGGTAACGTGTGATGAACCGAGCCAGTGTGTTTACCAGGACTGGCGGAAGGCTCTTCATATGTTCTGGTCTTATCCTGTGCGGACCTGGTGCTGTTCGATTTTTCACCGACAAAATGGCATCTCGGATTTCAGAAGGGAGAACCGGTGGTACAACATATCCATCTTCCTTTATTTCATATGACGCAAGGTGGACGTGGCTATCGAAGAGATCCGAGTAGTATTCGTGAATGATTTTCTCCATTGCCTTTCCGGATGCTGTAAGTGTTCCGTCTGGGCACAGGAGTGCAATCATTTTGGTCTTGTAATTGGCGAAGCTTCGATGGGCTTTGCGAATGCTTTTCCCAGCCTCTGCAGCTTCGACAATTACTGTTGTTCTTCTCTCTTTAAGATATTTTACCGCCTCTCTGCATTGTTTTGCAAGTTCGGGCGTTACTTCGCGGTTGCCTGCAGCTCGTGCGATTCCACGCTGGCTTGTCAGCTCGACTGTTTCTGGAGACAAACGTCTCTTGGTGACTTTCGAACTCTCAGCTTTCATAGCGCTAACATGAAGATGTTGAATGAGTTGATCGTATTCTTCATCGGTGTTATCGACAACGGCGTCTTCCCAACAGCCGACTAATGAATTGAATAAGTCCCAGTTTGGGGTGGTTCTGGGACTTCGGTTTTTGAATTTAGCGGCTATTTCTCCTTTCAGCGGGAAATAGAATCTTGCGCCAAGGAGACGATAGTCTAATCCCATGTAGAATTTTGGAACAACAGCGACATCGGTTAGGTAAAACCTTCTATTTACTATGATGTGGTCTATTTCTTTATGGTACTCTCCATTGGGAGACTCTCTCGTCCGGCTCTGAGAGTGGGGCTTCTGGAATTCCGAGTTACCATGGATTGTTTTGATCGCCATGATAAGCTCACCCTGTTCGTTCCATTCTAAGCCGTGGATCCCAATGTGACGTTCTTGGTCCAATCTTGGCGTTGAAATCTCCAGTGATGACCTTGAAGAATGTGTGGTGTTCTCTACGGAACTCCAAGTCCACATAGAACGCCTCGACATCTTTTTGGTCATAATTTGATTTTGGGGCGTAAACGACGAAGACTATCAAAGCCGGAATTGATCCACAGTGCTTTAATCGTAAACGTCCGATTCGGGTTGTACATTTTAGGTACAGACCG